TAGCTGCATTCACATGCTTTTCCAGAGCTAATACATTTCACAACCCTGTCCCAAAAGCAAAATCCCATTACAGATCACCCTATGCCCCAATTACACATTTGAGACTAGCAATATGAATTATCAAATACTCTGACTTGAATATATTTCAGACTGAATACACAGACTCTTTTTTTTTCTACTTAATGCAGAGCAATATGGTAGGTATATATCTAAATAAAAAGCGAACAGAAGAGGTTTGATTTAAATGCACAGATTTTCACATTCACCAATATGACTTTCTTATCTGCCATGACCCAGAATTATGGACATAATTTCACAAAGCTTAATCTCACATGCACAGAAATCCTTGATGAAATCCTCCTTCAATTTTGCATCATTCAGATTAACTTCCAGTTTTGCACACCTTTCCTGGTAACTTGTATTTTTGTAGTTCCACCTATGCCATATGTAAAAGCATGCATCTCCCTTTGGGAATCAAAAAGACATTTGAAAATTGTTACCTCAATATAGACCATCTTTCTTATAAACAGAGATAATACTAAGTACAACACACTCAGGAAGCTCTCATACCTTTGCTTAACAGTTTCTGAGCCTGAAACAATAAAGATTTTTTTTGTTAGCCTTCAAGAGCAAAAATACTTGCTTCAGATAGTAGAGTGACAAAAGACAAAGGACTTAATATTCCATAACATAGTTTCACAAATTAAGATTCTCTCAATTATATCCACAGAGATAATCCTCAACTACCACAGACTATGAGGCAAATCTGGCACCTAGGATTGAGTGTAACAACGTAGTTCCTACTGAGGCAGTTGTTGACTCACTGTGCCACAAAACAGACTGTGAAGTTGCCCCATCCATCGAGTTCACCTCTTTGCTGGCTAAAGTTCATCAGCTGATGTAAAAAGAAACAATCTCAAGAGAAACTGATCTCTAGTAACATCCTTTGAGCAAACTTCCATTATTCAAATCCATAGAAGATAAGTACAATTAAGTATCATTAAAACATATAACCAAATTACAATAAGAACAAGTATATTTCTAGGACTCATTTTTATAAAATCCTCTTTAGTTATTAGAGGTACAGTGTAATAGAAAAGCATAATTTAAAAACACAGATAAATCAGCCATCAGCAATAGCTATACATCTGGTATCTTTTTGAGTCTTGTTTGGTCCAGTTCAGCCTCTCTTTCCATTCAATGTTGCCAACTGCTTTCCCTTTTTCCCCCCTCCTTTTTTCAAATGAGGAGCCAGAAGTAAATCAAACAGTAAATAATCCAGTGCTATCTTCCTCATCAGGTGTAGTAACATCTGGTCAAAAAAATGGTCAGAAATTTAGTGAAAAAAGCCATTTTTTTTCCAACTTTCTTTCCAGAGATCAAAATACCACATAATCAAAATTTCTTGTTCACTCATACCCAACAAAACTTCTCTCAGGGTACTTTCTCCAATAAGTCATATGTACATGAGTATGATTTCACACAGTTAAAGAAAATTTGCACAACCTGAAAACTTAAAAGTTTTTGAAACTTTTAGTGATGATAAAAACGTATCTTTCCTAACATCTGTGGAAAGCTGTTTTTGACAGACAATTCTGTATTTCTAACGGCAGCTAACAGTATTTTCCTACCACTGTGGTTTTCCAGTTCCTCTCTACAAATATGAGTTTTGGTCATGCTAAGTATAAAGAGGAACAATACGTCATGACCTAAACATTGTTTCTTTAATGTTCACAAAGAAAAGAAGCTACAAATCATCTTCTAAAGCAATGTAAATTGCTAGAACAATGCAGAACTTGAATATACATATGCTTAAATTCTTCAAATATTCAAAGATTTCAAGATACCCCAGTTTCATTGTTATATATATCAGTTGTTAAGTGTTGGTAGAATACCATGGGACACAGCTATTTCCAAAGTGTGCATTTGTAATTATTCTCATTTACACACACAGATCTCTGAAGGACAGAGTTGTGTGGTTTGGAAGGAAAGAAGCAGTGAAACCCACTGTGGTTAAAATGTGTGTGTGTGTGTAGCAATCATGTTCAATAAAAACAGATTCTAACGCATGTGCTGGAGACACAAATTCACAACACAGCAAAAAAAAAAACAGCCCTATTCACTGCTGGTACAATTCCAAAGTCACTGTACAGAAACAAAGAATATTATATATATAAATATATACTTTAGGTAAAAGCACATTAGTTGTGTTTATGTAGATACTTGCAAGAGCCAACAAACACAGAGGTATATTTAAACGCCAAATGATAGGAACATGTAATTGTGGCACTGCTGCATTCTTGGCTCTGAAGGACGAAACCATAAGCGCCTTCCTCTTCTCCAACCACAGCTATTTAAACACCCCTGTGCACTTCCTTTTCCTGTTGTGCTTCCACTCTGTTAGGAATATAGTTGTTTTTAAATAGGCAACACTTCATAATTTTTTTCATTAGCAACTGCAGCTTTAAAAACTGCAACTGCTAGGCAGTAAACTATCTCAAATCCCATGCAATGCCTTCACCAGAAATTGTTTTATCATATGGCAACTATTCCCTAAAGTAGATCAACAGAGTAAAAAGGGGGTGTTTTGCTTCAGTATAACTTACCTAAGAGTAATCTGGCAGAAATGAGTTTTCTTAAATGCGTAAAGCTTTCAGAAAAATTGTAGATGCAATTTTCTCTTTGTGTGAAGCTCTGAGAATCTGATTTCCCAGGCCTGAAAAGCACAGGGAGAAGTAGCAAACCCCAACCAGGACATTTTTTTCATTCAAGCATTTGGACGGTATTTGATCTGAACAGACTCTAAGAAATGAATTAAAGTCACTTTTTTTCTCATATAACCAGACGTCCCTCATTTTCTCAGACTCGAGAACTAGTTGTTCTGCAAGGTGTGGGATGACAGCACAGTAGCTCTCTACATTACCACATATAGCTTGGGGTTTTAGTGACTTCAGGGATACAGTTTAAAGAAGGGATGGATACGGGGGCTCTTGGGAGGCTGTTCCAGTCAGGGGCAAGGGAGAAGCCAGGGTACCTGCAGTGCACTAAAGAGGCACCATCGATTCCCTCTCAGCACAAGCCTCTCCTTCCTAGCTCTGTGGCTTATCAGACTCCAAGGTCATGCCACCCCCTTCTCTTGCAAATCAGCTCCCAACAAGAATAATGCAGGACACAAAAAGAAAAGCCTTGAAAGCCACTTCCTACTGTCTTCCACGCCCTCACAGAGGATGAACCATACCATGCTTCATGGCCAAAAACAGGCTGGGACAGGGAAGGTAAAAGGTAAAAACCTTTTCCTCAGAAAACTGGTAATACTGCAGTATTACCAGTTTTCTGTTACCACACATACCCTGAATGACCAGTTTTTCAGGATAGAAAAAGACCCACTTGACTAGCTGTAAAAAGGAAAAGAAAAAAAAAAAAAAGGCAAGACATAAAACCATAGCCTGGAATTTAAACAAAAAGGTTGTTTTGTTCAATCAAAAACAGGGTCAGCAACAAGCAAGGAAGGAATATGCAGAACCAAAAGGGAACTTTTAAACGCACGGACATTTTTCAGTCACCAAATGAACAACATGACAAGTGCTGTACTTCCGTCTAATGCACAGAGCACCATATTCTCTGTTCTTGGTCATGGCTGATTGCCAGGAAAACTTTGGTATTGTTAATACAGCTCTTTAGATAGAAAACTCTGTCTCAATACAGAGTTTCCAGAAGTAAATGACAACATATATCTCTATATAAACAGTTTTCTTCAAGAAATGAAATTTTCTGGAAGCAAACACAATTTTGCCCTCTAGATTTTACTTTTTTTCTTGTGTTTAATCTGACATCTCTTAAATATGGCATAACAAGGTTAATATTAAAAAAAAAGTGCACATATAGGTAGGTGGCTTTTCACTGTCCCCTTTAAAACACATCTGCAAATTGCATCCGCTGTCTTTCAAAGACACTAACAGACACTAACAAATAAGCATCACATGCCTTAAAAAAGTTAAGATTATAATGCAAGTAGGAATAATTTTTGTGAGTTACTTTAAAATATTTAGGCTAACAAAACACAAAACATTGGGTAATATCATGACACAGTACATGTGCACTATTTTTTCCTGATGGGTTAAGACAGAAAGCTTTTTAAGGAGTTATATTCTACTGCTATGTTCATGCAATATAAAATACAGGGTTTGATGTTTACACCTCCTTTTGCTTTGAAGAACAGGAAGAAAACAGATTTTTCCTATCATGGAAGCTCTTTATCACCTCAGGTTTATTAAATAGCCTAAAGTTGGATGACACTATATACATATCATATGAATACGAGCTGAGTAAACCCCATACTGAATACTCAAAATAAAATGCCTCCCTCCCCCGCCGGCCCTTCCTCCAAGAAGTATTTTGAGAAGGAGAGAGAAGGCGGGCGATGGGGGGGAAACCAAAAACACACACACGGCTTTCGGTCTCAGAGGCCCGCGCCATGGGAGCAGCCCGCCAGCCCCCCCTTCAGCTGAGTGCAGGGGAGACAGCCTAGCCGCGCGGTGCGGCTCGGCTCGGCTCGGCTCGGCTCGGCTCGGCTCGGCACAG